AAAATTGAAGGGGGTCTGAATACTTTCCGTACCCACTGTATATATATATATATATATATATTAGCCATTACCCCTCTCTTGAGTGTCACAAAATCCTTCATAAATCATTCTAAAATGTTAATTTGGTGCTCAAGAAGCATGTATTATTATCAGTGTAAAAACAGTTGTGCTGCTTAATATTTTTGTGGTAATAGAAAGAGAACAGTCAAAAGAACAGTATTTATTTGAAATAGAAACATTTTGTAATATTATGAATGTCCTTACTGTCAATTTTAATCAGTTTAATGGATCCTTGCTGAATAAAAATATTAATTTCTTTTAAAAAATCCTACTGACCCCAGACAGTACAACAGTAGTTTAAACTGTAGTTTAAATATGTATTTATTATTACTTATATTTATGTATTTTTATATTGTATAATCAGCTGAGGTAGGGGGATATGGGAGGTGTTGGGGGTTTCATGTGTCATGACCTTGTAAAACAGGTTTTGTTTTTGTATGAGGTTTTTTTTTTCTGTCAGCACGATACAGTATAGATTCAAAATGCAGTGAAGGGAGTACAGATGACACTTACAGCTGTCTGGGCCGTGATGTGGGTGCATCCCACTATTTTAGCCGCTGCCAATGGTTTCTCACTCTGGGCAGCTTTTCTCAAGGCCATCAATGCAGTCATCTCTTTAATTAATAAAGGTACACATATATTTATTATTTTTTTTTAATATACTGTACAATGCATATTTCCTGTTTTATAACCATACTCTATGCCTACCATCCTCGGCAAGTTCTATCTCTCGACGACCAAAGCCTGCCAGTTTGATGTTTTTGATGCAGAAGTCCCTGTTCCCTTTAGAATTAATCTGTTGCATGTCTCGAGGAGAGACCTCATCTTCTGGATTTTCTGCATCTGAACCCCCTGAAAAATGAGAAACAAAACAAGAATGGAAATTGGGATCAAAGATTGCGATGAAAATACAAAGAACAGCCAAAAATATACATTTTCCAGTTTGATAGAATTTGTGTGGCATCTACCTGAGCTGTTACTGTCTGTAGAGGAATGAGAAATAGAGTGGGACAGGGAGCGGCGTCCCGTCTTTGTTAATCGACTGTCGAATTCTCGCGTCTGCTCAGGATACTGGATTTGCTAAGGAAAAAAAATATTATTATTTTTTTTGTATATTTAATATAATGTAATTTATATAATGTAACCTTTTCCTGCAGAAAAAAATAATAGAATAATTATAATGCTTTTAGACTGTAATGGTAGAAATATTGAAATAGCATTACATGCACAGAAACATATACATTTCAGGTACAGGCAAGAGATCTTAGAGACCAAATATACAGTAACTTGCTCACTAACTTACACATTTAAGAACGAAAGAAAACTTGAAATTAAGCACAGCAAAATATTTATGTGTTTGTTTGTTAGGGTAAGCACTAGTAGTCGCATTGTCTACTAAAATGCATTTATATTTAAACAAAGGTGCTGACACTGCTCCAATATATAAGCAAATAAAATAAAACTAAATAACATTGAATAAAAATGGAATAAAATTATCTTGAGCACCAGGATAGTACAAATCTTTTCACAATCTACTATAGAGTTAAGAATGAAATTGTTTTGTCATATTCATTAAATCAATATAACATTAGTTCAAAATTACTAAATTAACTTTTACTAATAACAAAAAAAATAATAGTAATAATAACCACAAGAAGGACTATATCTGTTTCAGTGCTGCAGTCTTATGACCTAACAAAAAAATCAAACAGATAGATTGCAACTTCCATCTAAACAGATTAGAAATACCTTGATGTTAAGAGATAACACGGCATCTTTTGATTCCCTGTTTTTAGTGAGACTAACCAAGCTGTAGACTTTCCTCATGGTGTCTGATCCTCTTGAGAAATGCGTAGAATAACTCCCACGTAAGCATTTAAAGGCTGAGCCACAACAGTAATTGTCATGCCATGATGTTAAATGAGCAGGCTAGAGAAGCATGGATCCACTGTCCGGTGAAATCCTACACTGTGAGACCAAAGCCTTTACAATAAATTCAGAGTTCTCTGTCCGCTTACATGATTCGACAATGATTAAAGTCTGAGAGGTCACAAAAGTTTCCACAAGTCATTTATTAATTCTGGCCAAGTGCCACTAGCTGCTACTGTGTGGTTTTAGTGCACTGGTCTGTGTTTAGCCCACGTCTCTGTTCAGGGTTGTTAATGATAATCAAGAACGGGTTATTCGGTTACACCTCATTTAGCAGGCGTTTTATCCAAAATGACTTGCTGTTCTCTTACTAAAGGGACAGTCCCCTTGGAGCAACCTGGCGTCAGGTGCCTCTTTCAAGGGCAAAATGGAGGTAAGGCAATTCAAGGCTTATGCTTTCTGCGGTTTAAACTCGGCGCATTTAGTTTATCAAACCAGAAACTTACCCCTACCACATGTGGTATAAAAGAGACAGTTTGCTTCTCACAGAGAGATTTCATTTGGCACACCCTGGGGTCAAGTGTTTAAGGACAAAGTGGAGGTAAGGAAACTAAATGGCTCTCAGATTCAAGGCTTTTTGGTGTTTAAACCCAGCACATTTAGGTTACTATACCCAGATATGTACCCTTACCCCACCTTGTAAGAAACAAGCAGTTCGCTTCTCACAGAGACTGTCTCCTTGACACAACCTGGAAGCAAGGGAACTCAACAACATTCAGATTCATGGGTCTCCCTTTCCAAAGTCAGACCTCAGCACTTCTATACTTTTATCGTAGTGCTCCTGTGGCTCAGTGGTAGAGCATTGCGTTAGCAGTGCAAAAGGTCATGGGTTAGATTCCCAGGGAACACACATACTGGTAAAAAATGTATAGCCTGAATGCACTGTAAGTTGCTTTGGATAAAAGCATCTGATAAATTAATTAAATTATATACACTCCAATGACCAAATCATATATTTAACCCTTTGCAAATCGGGTATAAAACAGAACATTGACAGTTCTGTTGCTTTAGGGACATTCTCATTGAAGGGATCAAGCACTTTGTTCAAGGACAAATTGCTGGTAAAGAACCTACACAACTCTCAGATTCATGGGTATCCCATTCCAAGGTTTGACCTCAGCACTTCTATGCTCTCCAATGACCAGAAAAGACATTTAACCCCTTCTAAATCTGGTATAAAACAGGAAATTGACAGCTCTATTGCTTTAGGGACATTCCTGTTGAAGAAACCTGGGATCGAGTACATTGTTCAAGGACAAATGGTGGTAAAGAACCCAAACAACTCTAAGATTCATGATTCTTCTTTCCCAAAGGTTGACATCACTTTTGTGTTGCCAGCCAAGTTTTGAAACAGGAACACACTGAACACAATAATATGTTGACAAGGGAGACTTATACGTAGTATTAGTTCATTGCATTTATGTCATAAATATTGCCTGTTCTTACATCATAATGTACAACATTAAACAGTACTTTAATGCCCATTGTACTTATTCAGCTTCAGTGGCACTTACTCTTTTTGTTCTTGGCGCTTCAATGACGGCTCCAACATTTTCATCGAACACTTCCTCACTGTTCTGCATTTTTAGGAGCGCAGGTCGCCGGTTTGTTGCTGCCTCCAGCATTCTCAGTAACTTGGAGCTAATCGTTGGTGGTTGTGAGGAATCTCCATCTCCAGCTGTTTCCAGAGCAGAGGAAATTGCAGCTTCACCATTGTGGCTACTCTCTTCCATGCTATCATCGTCTTCCAATGGTGGAGTTGCAGACCGGATCTCAGGTTTGCTGTTGAGACTGCTGTCCATTTCAATGTCTTTAGTGTTGAAGTTACAGACAGTTGCTCTTTTGAACAAACGGGTCTTAAAGGTGTGTAAACATTGCCTTCATATTAACTGATTGTGGAAACAGAGAGTAAATGGCATGCGGGTAGAGGAGAGGTTTTATACCCTTGGGCTTGGTTTATTTCTGTTTGATACTGTAATATTATTCTTATATTATTCTTCTTGGCTGACAAAGTTGTTCTTTTGAAATTTTTTCATCAAAGAATCTTGAATAAAATGTGTCGCCGTTTATATGAAAATATTAAGCATAACAACTGTTTTTAATATTGATAATAAGAAATGTTATTATAGCATATTAGAATGATTTCTGAAGGATCATGTGACACTGAAAACTGGAGTAATGATACTGAAAATTCAACCATGCCATGACAGGAATAAATTACATTTTATAATAGAAATTCAGGGTAATTGGGACATTTGGGACAATGGCAAAAATTATCCCAATTTATCTGAATTCGCCCTATACAGCTATTTTAAATTGTAATAATATTTCACAGTATAACTATTTTAGTGTGCAAATACATTTTATCTGAGCAAATACATTTTATTTTTGGTGAGCATAAGAGACTTCTTTCAAAAACATAAAAAATTTTACTGACCCCAAACTTGTTTAAGTAAGCAATGAGTTGACTCATTTTGCTTGAAAGTAATGGGTTTTATCTGAGGTAAACAAAACCTTTTATTGAATATACTTATATTCACTTGTCAATTCAGATTCACTTTTAAATTAGTGCTTGTGTATGGCATTATCACTTAAATATAGCTATGATAGTGGTGTTTTTTTTATTTATTTCCATGAGTTTTCAGACTATCATTAAAGTAATACAACGTTTGAGGAAAGATCTGTTTACAGGAAACTCGCCTGTTGTGTTGGCTAAATACAGAGTGACAGAAATCATGTGTCTCTTGAGATTAAGGTTGCTCCATTTAACAGGTTTTTGCTTTCGTTTTAAAAGTGTAGCTACAAGCTGGATTTTGATTGCTAATAACGCTCACTTCTAACAGATTTAAGATGGACATTTTTCTAGATAACACTGACAGATCCATAAATCTCCCAATTGTAAGGTGGTTGTCTAAAAGTATAGTAGCTGCCCCTTTCTACCTTTCATGGCTTATTGATTCCTAGCTGCCACTAGATGAGGCTTTCATCAATCCTTATTGAATGTCCTGACATTCATTTTTGGATGAAATCAAGGCTATAAAATTATCAGATGAGACACAATGTATAGCCTGAATGCACTGTAAGTTGCTTTGGATAAAAGCATCTGATAAATTAATTAAATTATATACACTCCAATGACCAAATCATATATTTAACCCTTTGCAAATCGGGTATAAAACAGAACATTGACAGTTCTGTTGCTTTAGGGACATTCTCATTGAAGGGATCAAGCACTTTGTTCAAGGACAAATTGCTGGTAAAGAACCTACACAACTCTCAGATTCATGGGTATCCCATTCCAAGGTTTGACCTCAGCACTTCTATGCTCTCCAATGACCAGAAAAGACATTTAACCCCTTCTAAATCTGGTATAAAACAGGAAATTGACAGCTCTATTGCTTTAGGGACATTCCTGTTGAAGAAACCTGGGATCGAGTACATTGTTCAAGGACAAATGGTGGTAAAGAACCCAAACAACTCTAAGATTCATGATTCTTCTTTCCCAAAGGTTGACATCACTTTTGTGTTGCCAGCCAAGTTTTGAAACAGGAACACACTGAACACAATAATATGTTGACAAGGGAGACTTATACGTAGTATTAGTTCATTGCATTTATGTCATAAATATTGCCTGTTCTTACATCATAATGTACAACATTAAACAGTACTTTAATGCCCATTGTACTTATTCAGCTTCAGTGGCACTTACTCTTTTTGTTCTTGGCGCTTCAATGACGGCTCCAACATTTTCATCGAACACTTCCTCACTGTTCTGCATTTTTAGGAGCGCAGGTCGCCGGTTTGTTGCTGCCTCCAGCATTCTCAGTAACTTGGAGCTAATCGTTGGTGGTTGTGAGGAATCTCCATCTCCAGCTGTTTCCAGAGCAGAGGAAATTGCAGCTTCACCATTGTGGCTACTCTCTTCCATGCTATCATCGTCTTCCAATGGTGGAGTTGCAGACCGGATCTCAGGTTTGCTGTTGAGACTGCTGTCCATTTCAATGTCTTTAGTGTTGAAGTTACAGACAGTTGCTCTTTTGAACAAACGGGTCTTAAAGGTGTGTAAACATTGCCTTCATATTAACTGATTGTGGAAACAGAGAGTAAATGGCATGCGGGTAGAGGAGAGGTTTTATACCCTTGGGCTTGGTTTATTTCTGTTTGATACTGTAATATTATTCTTATATTATTCTTCTTGGCTGACAAAGTTGTTCTTTTGAAATTTTTTCATCAAAGAATCTTGAATAAAATGTGTCGCCGTTTATATGAAAATATTAAGCATAACAACTGTTTTTAATATTGATAATAAGAAATGTTATTATAGCATATTAGAATGATTTCTGAAGGATCATGTGACACTGAAAACTGGAGTAATGATACTGAAAATTCAACCATGCCATGACAGGAATAAATTACATTTTATAATAGAAATTCAGGGTAATTGGGACATTTGGGACAATGGCAAAAATTATCCCAATTTATCTGAATTCGCCCTATACAGCTATTTTAAATTGTAATAATATTTCACAGTATAACTATTTTAGTGTGCAAATACATTTTATCTGAGCAAATACATTTTATTTTTGGTGAGCATAAGAGACTTCTTTCAAAAACATAAAAAATTTTACTGACCCCAAACTTGTTTAAGTAAGCAATGAGTTGACTCATTTTGCTTGAAAGTAATGGGTTTTATCTGAGGTAAACAAAACCTTTTATTGAATATACTTATATTCACTTGTCAATTCAGATTCACTTTTAAATTAGTGCTTGTGTATGGCATTATCACTTAAATATAGCTATGATAGTGGTGTTTTTTTTATTTATTTCCATGAGTTTTCAGACTATCATTAAAGTAATACAACGTTTGAGGAAAGATCTGTTTACAGGAAACTCGCCTGTTGTGTTGGCTAAATACAGAGTGACAGAAATCATGTGTCTCTTGAGATTAAGGTTGCTCCATTTAACAGGTTTTTGCTTTCGTTTTAAAAGTGTAGCTACAAGCTGGATTTTGATTGCTAATAACGCTCACTTCTAACAGATTTAAGATGGACATTTTTCTAGATAACACTGACAGATCCATAAATCTCCCAATTGTAAGGTGGTTGTCTAAAAGTATAGTAGCTGCCCCTTTCTACCTTTCATGGCTTATTGATTCCTAGCTGCCACTAGATGAGGCTTTCATCAATCCTTATTGAATGTCCTGACATTCATTTTTGGATGAAATCAAGGCTATAAAATTATCAGATGAGACACATATAGTTTGTTGAAAACCAGTGCATATAGGAAGAATATGACATATCCAAGAGTTCTCCAATAACAAAAAAAAGATTAGTTAGGAATATATAAGGGTGGTTGTATAATTAGGTGAACCATTCTGTCCACTATAGGATGTTCAAAAAAAAAAAATTATAATTCTAAATTAGTTATTCCATTATTTTAAAAGAATAGATTATAATATCTTTGTTTAATTTTCTCTTGATTTTTCTTTCTAATTTATAATTTAGTTGAAATAAGATATTTATGAAATGTCTTTAATTTATTTTGTCATGTTCTGAATGCAGCTTTCTTAGGTTACCAAGCTGTTTATTATTTGATAACCTAATTTAGAAACAACCTAGGTTTTTTGTTATGAAATCAAAGTCAATGGATAGCTGCTTCAAGTCTTTCCCGCTCATCGTATCCAGTGAATGCGGAACCATGCCAGCGGACGTAGAGAAAGTAACGCCGCCTTGTGGTGAGTTTATTCAGTGCTGTTTGGAACTGTGGAATTGGATTCTTTGTCGGTTTAGGGTGAAATCTTGAAAATACGTTTTACAAATTTTCAGACTTTTATAACATGCATGCTGTGCAGACGATCTTAATGCTGTTTGAAAAAGCTTAAATAAAGCTGTGCCATAAACCCCATTAACATGGGTCTAAACAATTTTATAAACTGTCTCACTGCTCCCTCTGTTGGAATTATTCTGCTATAAGCAAACATATATATATATATATATATATATATATTGTATATGTATATGTATATATAAATGCAGAAAAACTACTTCAATGTCTATAAAAGTAGTTTTATATTAGCTATCAATTTTACATACATAACTGATTGTTTAATAAGTCAAAAGAATAAGCAATAAGAACTTTAATCCACTTTAATTTTTTTTGTGCTGAAAAACAAAATTTGTTACAGAAGAAAGAAGTTTTGGTGTTACATATATTTTAAGTTCTTGCTTTAACTGTATTTGTTAGTAGTGTCCATTTTCGCTTTCCATTAAGACTTCAGGAGCCTTGCAGTTCAACAATTAGACATTTATCAGTTATTAAACAATACAGATGATACAGACAATAATGGCCTTAAGCTGAATGTTGTTTTGTTACTCTTTTGCATAGTGGGGATTTTTTTGTTAAATTGTTTAGTTGATTTTAATGACATCAAGGTAATAGTGTTGTAAGGTAGGCTGTAAAGGGATGTGTCAGTTATCCCGTCGTCACAGTGACCTTTGAACTGATAGTGGCTTCATTATCTCATACCCAGCTCTGATGACACCGGACACAGATAAGGAATCCAGTCTTGATTTTGTTCCCAGGAAACATTTGGCAGCATTAGCCAGCCAATGAATGAATGGCACAGTGCTGCTTGAGTGTTATGGGTACGGCAGGTCAAACAAAAGGAAGTCTTAACCACGCCATGGCACTGTAATAAAGGACACACCTATTTCTGCTCTACTGCACTGAAGAAAGTAAAAGCTTTGCCCTTGTACCTGGCTCCTACTGTACTTCAGAAAATAAGACCAACTTCGGCGGATTAAAAGTATCTGGTATGTGAATTTCATTTCAAATATGCTTGACAGTTCATAAAGCAATGTAATGTATCATTCATTTTCCAGCATTGCTATAGTGCTTTGACATTTGGTGAATGACAAGCTTGTTCAGACATTCCACGTTTGCACTGCATTTCAGTAGAAATATCCCTGTATTATACAAAGTCTGCAGTTCACTCAGTGACATTTCTGCCTTGCATCATTTAAACACTGATTTATTCTCACAATAATGACCAGCTTGCTGCACAATACAGTAAGGGATTATTATACAGGCTTTAGTTCCTTTTGCCTACGGTAATTCTCTTGTTTATTTCACATGATTTCTGCGAAGTATCCTAGTGGAACGGTTTAAACCAGGATTTTAATCCCAACTAAGACCAGTAAATGCTATGAACTTGTCTTAATGGTTAGGCATGATTCAGGCTTATGATGAATGTAGGTTAACCCAGTTATTCCCATACTGTTTGTTTCATATGAGCACATATGAAACAAACAGTAAGTATTTTATGTTTTTATACAAGTTTTTTTAGACAAGAGAATGACAATATGGGGGTTCTCAGACTGGTCATAAATCTGACTGCTGACAAGTGATCGTGACGAATCTTAATATTATATGAATAACAGACCTTAAATATTACAGCAAACATGGTCCTTGTATCTGTATTCCATATTTTAAGTGCTTCCTTTTATGGAGTCTTGAGACAGACATCAAATAGTGTATCTGGTCATGTGACTTACAGCACACCTGTTAAAATGTTCACATGCTGTTAAAACAATCTGCACTTTTACTAATATTTAAAATAACTACAACTTGATTCAGACCCATCAAACTGAAAAGCAATTTGAATCACAAATGTGAAATGCTGTGTAAAATGGGTTAAATTCACTAGCCACTGTGTGGAAATCTTCTAGAAGGTGATACGAGACCGAAAACATATTTAAGCAAATATACTTGCTTATGCATTTGTTTGCAATTATAAACGAACATAGTCACGCGGCTAAAATGAGTTATATAACATAACAGAACCAAGAACCATCCGTTTATGATGTGTTTTAGCATTTTTAACCTTCTTAGGATAACTTAAAGACCAGTCTAAGGTGAACTTGTAAGGCTCCTTTGTGCAATTAAACTATATCATAGTATCACACCACAGGAAAAAAAAATCTCAACCTATATCTAAATAACCATAGAATTAACGGGGTCACTCATCAGCCAATCCCTAGCGCGCATGCGCATGCTGCAGACGGGCGTGTGTTGTTTCACAGGTAAGGCTGAACCAATGGGCTTCAAAGTCACGTACAAGGTTCAAAAGAGCTGTCAGTTACTTCATGGTTAACAACACATTTATTGTTCCCTTTTGGTACCTTAAAACGACATTAATAAAATTGAACCACTTTGGGACCCTAATGAAATAGCCTAAGTGTAAGGACATTCAAGGTTGTTGACTGGTTTACTGTAAGGTTTGGGAGAAGCTGCACTGGTATCTGTGAGATTCTGAATCATCTCGTCTTGCTGCTGCTGCCTCGGAGGGGAGGGTGATCGGACGGCTGTTGTGTTGGGAGAAGGGCCGATATCCGCAGCATTCCCCTGCATCCTCCAGTAATCCAAGTTTCTATCCTTCTGTCTGTCCATTCTTCAAGACCACGTTCATCTGGAGAGACCTTGTCTGCTTCTGTAGGGTTAAAATGGCAAGCAGCTTCGCACGGGTTTTGTCCAGTAAAAGGAAGGTGGGAATCTTGTCGTTGGTCGGTGCGGGATCTCTGACCGTGGGATTCTTCCTGAACAGAGAGCAGCATGTCAATGCAGGAGCGCACGTCCGGAGAATCTATCCTCCTAGGTAACTACAACCATACCCGTGTTTTATAACGACAATATCATACATAAAACAATTAAATATTGTGATAAAATGCCAAACAAACCATTGTATTGTAGCTATTGGACAAATGCTTTAGTGGGCGTCAAATATGTTGATTCATATGAGTCAGGAATGATCCAGTTCCACAGTCGCATATTATATATTATATTATATTATATTATATTATACCTTTTCAATTTTGTATTCTACATTGTAGATCTAAATGTTTCGTTTAGATCTTTTAAATACAGTAGGTACTAACCTTCGAATTAACCCTTTAATTTTTTCATGTACGAAATGAATGCAAAATAATTAATTATTTAATTTGTTTGTACACATTAATTCATATCCTCATAATTCACATTTTGTTAAAAATCCCCATGCAGTGTGGTTGAACACTGGTTGTATCCAAAAAACACGAGACAGGCAGCGTAAAAGCTTTTGACGCGTACGCAACGCGTCGATGACATTCTAGAACTCCGTTTTTGATAGCAGCTACGCGTTCCGAACGCGGTTATGACGCTCAAAAGCGCTGTCTTGATAGGGAGCACACGCGGTTATGACGCTCAAAAGCGCTGTCTTGATAGGGAGCACACGCGGTTATGACGCTCAAAAGCGCTGTCTTGATAGGGAGCACACGCACACAAGGATCTGACGCGTACAGAACGCGGGTTTGACGCTCAAAAACACCGTTTTGATAGACAGGCCCAACAAAACTGTCTTGGTAGGCAGCTTGTTTGGTTTTGAGACAGAGCCATTGTCCTTGATTTTCAGCTTAGTTCTCTTTCCAAACAGTGCTGAATATCCAGATTTGCGGAAGCACAATAACTGTATGGCCAGTCACCTGACTCCTGCTGTATATGCCAAGCTGAGTGATAAAACCACTCCTAATGGTTACACTTTGGACCTGGCTATCCAAACTGGCGTGGACAACCCAGGCCACCCCTTTATTAAGACAGTAGGAATGGTGGCAGGGGATGAGGAGTCATATGAGGTGAGAGGATATTATATATATATATATATATATAATATTTCACACATTTTTGGCATAATAAGAGGTTAGCACTTTTGGAGCACGAAAGTACATCAAACATGTTTTGTGCAGGTCTTTGCTGGCATTTTTAACCCAGTCATCAAAGAAAGGCACAATGGTTATGACCCCTGCACCATGAATCATCCCACTGACCTGGATGCCAGTAAGGTAGGAGTAAATGTTTTAGTTACACATACAACATTGACAGTAGGGTGTTTCTTGAACTGTGGGCACTTTTATTTCCCAAAAGTCTTGGAATGCCTTCATAATTCATTTTTGATACTCTTCAAATGTGTTTTAAAATAGATCTTATAGATATATTTTTTAATACATTTATAGATAGATTTTGTGGTTTTAACCATGTCACAGACCCAGACATTCAATCTTGAAATAAACACATTTTAAATATTAAATACTACATGGTTCATATTAATATATATAAATAAGAAATCTATATAAATATATTAAATATAAATGTACTTTATTTTAATATGTCCTTGTTACACATGTTAAGAATATGTACTTTAGTAATAACAGTATATTATATGTAACTACAAGCAACTAACACAGTATGTTGTTAATTAATTACTTAGAAATCATTTTTGTAATTGCACTGTAACAAGGAAAAAAATAAATATAAATTACTATTTAATTGTGTGTATTTAGGAATCATAAAATGCTAGCTATGAAATTAGCCTTGGCAAGTTACCAATTTTATTCTAAAAATGTTTAAAGTTAGCATTAAATCTGTTTTCCAAATGCATGTTATAGATCTTATTGTGAATGATTCATTTATGTACATGTTTTTTTTTTTTTTCATAACGATCTTCTGGTGAAAGTGACCTACAATCAATAAAATATATTTATTTTTGTTAATTTGAATTTAATCGCTAAATTTTACATTTTGATTTTAAATGTTTGGATTTTTTTAAATGTAATACTCAGATTTGTTTAAATCTGAGAAAAATCATTTAAAAAAAATACATTTGTAATTCAGTTAGTAACTTTAAAATGCCATTTCCACCACAAAATGAACAAACAAACGGCACCTAGTTATAATATCACGATAGTTTGGCATTCTTTTAAATAGGAAAGCAGGTCACAAACACAAGCCTTACAGTTTCAAGTTACTTCCATTATGTTCAACCTACTTTCGTCCCATCAGATACGGGGAGGCCAATTCGATGACAAGTACGTGCTGTCGTCTCGAGTCAGGACAGGTAGGAGTATCCGAGGCCTGAGTCTGCCCCCGGCCTGCACCCGCGCTGAGCGCAGAGAGGTGGAGAGGGTCGTGATTGATGCCTTGGCAGGCCTAAAAGGGGATCTGGCTGGAAAATACTTCAGTCTCACTGTAATGACCGAACAAGAGCAGCAGCAGCTCATTGATGTGGGTATATTCACAAATATGATGATATGTAATTCATTGCTGTCGACTCAACCCAAAAAGTATTCATGCTACCCTTTCGTTTTCCTGTATAGGATCACTTCCTGTTTGATAAGCCTGTGTCACCCCTGCTGACATGTGCAGGCATGGCTCGCGACTGGCCCGACGCAAGAGGCATCTGGTGAGTTTAACCTCAGCCAGAAGGAGTTGAGTGGTTTGGTGGCGAACAAAGTCCTCTGGCAGGACTGCGTTTCATCCAGAAATAGTCTGAAGCAACCTCTACCGCCATGTGCTGTGGTTTGATATCGATCACGGAGTGTACCCATGGCTCACTTACATCTCCTGCATAATTCATCCTCTTTTTTTCCTCTTCTTCCTTCTGCCTGCAAGGGAAAGTGTGCCAGTGTTGCCAGACTCAATTTGGAAATTACCTCTGATTTAATACGCTGATGGTTTTTGAGCTAACAAAGCACTTCTGATAACATTAGAGACTAAAAGTGAGACTAAAATGTAATAAGGTCAAGGGTAACTAGGTTTGGGAAACAAGAACAGGTTCTTATTTTAAAAATAACAGAACCATTTTGCAGATGTGGACATATTGACGTATTAAAATACACAACAAGTGTGAAAACAAAGCTCTTATCAATCGGTTGTTTTAGTGAATGAAAAACATGCAGTGCAATCAGTGTCATCCAATTCATATATATTCATATATGCATACAGTATATTTACAGGCCAAAGACACTGAACAGATTTAACACATGCCTTTCAATTCCAGGCACAACAATGAGAAAACCTTCCTGGTGTGGGTCAACGAGGAAGACCACACTCGTGTGATCTCCATGGAGAAGGGGGGCAACATGAAGAGGGTCTTTGAGCGTTTCTGCAAGGGTCTCCAAGAGGTGAGGTCATGCACGTGTACGTATGTGGCTCTCACGCACTGTTAAAACCACACAAGCCTCCATTATTTATCCAGCAGAGATGCTGCAGCTGTTTATTGCAGCTCAGAGCAATGCCCTTTTGTGGACATACAGTTGTAAACACATCGTCCTGGCAGATGGGGATCTGTGTGTGATTATGTGTGTGGGTCTGTCTAGTCTGTTGCTCCTTCTAAAAGGGAATCATAATTACATGTCGCATGTTTAATTTTTGATCATTTTTAGTTCAAACAGATCACTCTTGTATCTTTCTCACAAGACTCTCTCTTTGTCCCTCAGGTTGAGAGACTAATTCAGGAGAAGGGTTGGGAATTCATGTGGAACGAGCATCTGGGTTACATTCTCACTTGTCCGTCAAACCTGGGCACAGGGCTAAGAGCTGGCGTCCATGTCACTCTTCCTCGCCTCAGCAAGGTCCTCGCTCTAGAAATACATTATAAACTTTCTCACCTATTCAGCCTATGTCATGTTAACAATTTTGCAGATACTTAGGTGTTAGGGTGACCCAATAAACAGTTAAGAAGCACATTAATATGTTATGTCTATTGTGTATTGTCTTTTTCTTGCAGGACCCTCGTTTCCCTAAGATTCTGGATAACCTGCGACTCCAGAAAAGGGGGACTGGAGGAGTAGACACCGCAGCTGTCGGAAACACTTTTGATATTTCCAATCTGGACAGGCTGGGCCAATCAGAGGTCAGTGATGTCACAATCAATCAATCAATTAAAGTTTTAAGAAATTCAGATAATATTCAAATTCTTCACTAATTTGTCTAAATACAGTAAATAAAAAATAAAACACTAAAAATCAAAAACATTTTAAATGTAACAAGTGAATTTAGGCATCACAATATTATATAATGTAATGTATACTATGAAAAATGGATTTATAAAATTAATAGTTCCGGTCCTTGATTCTGATTGGTTGAGCCGCGTTCTAAGCTGTTGTCAATTACTCTACAAACATACACCTTTGTTTACGTTTGTGTGTTGCTCGGCAACCACTTTGTTGCAACCACAACTGATTCTGAGCAACTATATTGTTTGGTGGAAGAATAATGTTTTTATTAATATCATTACACTTTATTTGCTCTGTTTTATTTTGTGAAACCTTACTACGTATATGGAATAACCGTTTTATAAAAGCAATAAGCCCCGTGAAGTCACGGTTTACAGTGAATTTATAACAGCTAAGGGGCGTTGTTAGGCACGATGCGAAGCGGAGTTCACTGTAAACCACGGCTTCTTGGGGCTTATTGCTTTAATTCATTTTGTGAGAGATTACATTTAACTGTGTTATTTATTTATTAGTGTCAAACTGAGTGTTAGATGAAGACTTAAGTAATATATATATATATATATATATATATATAAAATATTTGTCAGGCATGTGCTGGGGGGTGGATGTGTTGTCTGCTTGAGCACCTGCCCCTTTCCCCCTTGATGCCCAAAGTGCCCTTTTGTCAAAGGTTTTTTTTTTTGTAATTAAATTCCATTTTCCATTTAAATAATAATATGATAATACATAATAAATTAAATAATAATTTAGCCGTAAATAAAATGATCCACATGATGACCTTTCACCTGACGATCTGATCTGGGATGATCCCTGATGTTCAGACAACTTTAGTAATTTAGCGCACTACCAGGATAGCTTCAATAATGTCCGCGGCTGCTGGTTTTGTGGAGTTCTCAGCGGAGCGGTGTGCTTGTATACTTTTATTATTAAATTATTATTATTTTACAAGAACGACGTGAAGAGAGCATGCACAGCTGTTGTTTATATTGCTGTGTGTAGCCTGTGGAAGTCACGTTAGCTTCAGCATGGGGTGTAGCCATCATTTCAGATTTTTTTTTAAATTAATTAATTAATTATTATTTTTTTTTCTAATTGACAGGTTTTATTCTTTTTATCTCTTATTTTTAATTGGCTAAGAAATCAAATACACTGCTGGATAATAACCAATAATTTGTATTCTATAATATTTTTGTGCTATATTTTCCTAATGCCAATTTTATGATTGGTTTATAAAGGCTACTACAAACACCTTTTTCCCATTTTTATCACAGAATAAGGCAGGAAATATATTTGATAGTTTCTATACTAAATTATATGTCAATTAGCACTGCATTATTCATATAATTTATTTCCTGGAGACGACTTGAAAAACACCCATAAACCATATATTTTCTCAATTGTGTGTTTATTGTCTTCACGTTTCATCAGTGAAAACGTTTCTGCTTTTTATTCAGCTCAGCTACAGCAGATATTGGTTTGCCTACAGCGATAGCCGGATGCCTTTGTCCATATTAGGGATTTCCTGCACGTCATAAAATATTACTTCCATAAGTCCGTTTGGGACTTTCTGTATGAGAGCGTCCTCCGGCTTCGAGTATGAATGAAACAGACACTTCATGAGAGCTTTTAGTGCTCCATGATGTTCACATTGCCTCATTTTGGATACGAATAAAAAGTCAGGTCATGCATAGACTATCTTGTCTCTTTGAATTTAAATCTAGATTTATTTACACTGGCCCGTGAAAACCTCTACGTGAACACACCTGCCCGAATAAAGTGCGGGGGACGAATTTACATTTGATTAAAATTAAATATTTATTAAATATTAAAAATGCAGCTAACTTGTTCTACACACAGTGGTGCCTGTTCTCTTTCGTTCTTGCTGTTTAGTTGAGAAAAGTTTAATGGGCATCGAGGGGTCTTGTCTTTTTTATGTTATCTGACTAAAAACTGTTTATACTTTGAACTATTATTATTACAGTATTTATTTAAAAAACATAGAGTGCCTTAAAATTATTATTACAACACTGGCAAAACAGGCTTATACTGATTTTCTCATCCTCCGAATTATACTTATCAATCCTGTTTTTGTTATTATTATCATTCAAACAATGAATACATTTAGAACAGGACAAGAATAGAATTCCATTTTAAATGTGACAGAAATATTTTTTCTACAACAGCAACAGAAGTGTTTACAACATCAAAATCCTGTTTTTATTATCATTATCATTCAAACAATGAATACATTTAGAACAGGACAAGAATAGAATTCCATTTTAAATGTGACAGAAATATTTTTTCTACAACAGCAACAGAAGTGTTTACAACATCAAAACAACAGAAGAAATAATTCTTTAACTTTTAAACTTAAAATGGTCTTTTCTGTTCTGTGTTCCTTTTTCAAAACTGCGTCACAGCATTTGCTGCTGTATCAATACAGAAGCCTCCGTATCGTAATGCATTACACTACATTGCTGTATTGATATTTTGAGCACAGCCCTATTTAAAGCCATGTGCCCCTTTTATACTTTAAGCATCTGCCCCTCCAAAGGTCTCAGCACGGCCCTGATATATTTTTACCAGCCATGAAACTGTACATGCATTATTTCATTAAAAAGAGGCCGAAAAATTGGAGAAACCGATTGCAATTTTTATTATTAATATTTATTATTTAATCAAATTATGAAAATTAAATAAAGAATAAAGAAATAGACTGTAAAGAATTTCATAATAATTTTAATTTATATAGAAGTTTGTGAGAAGCATCTTTTACTGTGAACCATGAAAAGATAACAGTGCTTCACTCTGAAACACACAACACATCAGATTACATATTTATATAATTACAATGCAGTCTTTATAATTTCATAATCACGCTAAACCATATTGTATTTTCAGGCATTGTTAGAATTATTAAAAAAAAGGTTACAGGCCAACTGCTGAATAACACTGTTTCAAACACCCGCCAAAGATGATTTTTACTCGTATTTGGTACTTGGCGAGTGTTAATTTTAGGCCCCGAGTACTGATATATTGTGGCGAGTAAATGATGACAGAATTTTGATGTTTAGATGAACCGTCTCTTTAAAAACTGAAAAAATTTAATTACCTCACCATGATTTCTTGTCTTTATCAATATGTGCTCAGGTCCAGCTGGTTCAGACTGTGATAGATGGAGTGAACTATCTCATTGAATGCGAGAAGAAACTGGAGAGAGGCCAAGACATCAAAATCCCCGCCCCCATCAGCCAGTTTAAATAGACTGGCAGTCTCGCTTAGCTCCGCCCTTCTCCTGGCTCCTCCCTCTCGTGTGTTCCTTCCTCCTTCAATATTCCACTGATACTGATCCATAAGCATGCCTCTGTGTTTCGCCAGACATACCACATTCCAGTATAAAACAGGAGTGAATGTATCGTACATCATGATTGTGTTCATGTGACGCTATTGATTTGTCACATTGTAACTTACTTGATTGTGTTGCAATAATACTATAATAGCCATTGTCAAGATTTGCCTCAGGTGTCAGAGAATTAAACAGATGTTTTTGTTTAAGATGTTGACTATATAAACCGCTGAAGGGTTTTGGAGAGTGTTTTATTGTACATTTTACTGTTGTTATAATTGAAAATAGGCGAAAAGCAAAACTACCACTGAAATAATTCATTTAAAGGTGCTCAGTCATGTTTTATGTTGCACTGGGAGTTGGTTTGTACTGACACCTAGTGGTATGGATGAAGCATAGTAGAACTGCTTTATTTGTGGTTTAAAATGCCTGCCTCCAGAAGCAACCCAATCCATGTAAAATAAAGCAGATGCTGATATGTATCTTTAAGCTTTGAAAGTCTTGCCATCCTGAAGTATAAAGGAGCTACCATGTGGCGAAATTTATATATATATATATATATATCCTATCCCAGTGTCGCTGTTTTCAGTGGATTCAGCATGAGATCTGTGCCAAGGTGACTTTTGAGAGTTCAATCTTCACAGTTATTTTTCTAATTGGGTAGTATCTGAGGTGAAGTCACAAGGCTTGTACATTGCATTATGTTGGAAAACTTATTTAATATATATTAAAATCACAGACAGATTGACAGAATAATAGATTTAATAGAATTAATTAAAAAGTGTCAATTGCCAACAAGCAGTTATCATTACAATATATCATTAAAATGAAAAGGCTTATTGTCTTATATTACTAATGTCTACGAATGTCATTTCAGAAAGTATTCAAAATATACATTTTATTATGAATGAGTGAACTGTATAAAAAAACACATCTTTCATTGTCTAACCAATCCAGTGTTCGTGACGACGAACAGAATTCATAGAGCAGGTTTGCTGATGCATTCTTATTACTTTTCTGAGCAGTCGTGCAGGTTAAGGAAACCCTGAACTGTGTCACAACAGATAATAAGTAATTGGTGTTCTTTTTTTATAATAAATGAATTAGATTATGATTAGGTAAAATGCCATTAAAGAGGAAAATATTTTGCACTGCAGCATTGTATGTTTGAATGAAAATACTCTATCCAGACTGGATCAAATGTAATGTTGCAGTTGCAATCACTGATCATGAAAACGCTTGGCGTTCATTCCCACCTAATATATCCTGAAGCTGGTCCATCTCCTCTAGGTTGCGCTGGAGCTTTTCTATCAGCTCAAAGTACCTGCAGAGATTGTCCTCACGCCAGCACTCTGTCTCACAGTCATCCTGAAACTCATCCGCCTGAATAAACGCATCCAGACCCATGTCCCACTCTAGCTCATGTTTCGAGGTATGGTTTCATGTTTCCAAACGAGCATTTGGACTTTCATGTTTTTCCTCATCTTTGACAGGTTTGTGGTCCTTCAGTTGGTTTGTCTGGCTTATTGCCCTGAAATCACAATCTGAATGTTTGAACATGTTTAACAAGTCAACATAAACCACAGGCATCTAGTAACCTCTTCACTGCGCAGTGAAAACATTATTTGTTCACCTACTCCATATTACTTGCTTTGAAAATCTCTGCTCTGCATAGGATTTTCAATTGCTGCACCTCTTTGGAGAGATTGGAACGCATTTCCTGAACGTCATCAACTGTGGACATAAAGGAAACGAATGAAATGTTACAGTTAAGAATATACATAGACTACCATTCAAACGTTTAGGGTCGGTAGGGCTGCTGGATAACCTTTTTTCTTACGTGTAACCTCAAGATGAAATTTTTATAGAGAAAAACTTTATTTTTTTTTTAAGAAATATACTCAGAAAGGCACTAAAACAATTATTTTCACCTTGTTCTGGGTGTAATTTTGTGCATCACTGAATAAAGAAAATCACTGTGTTTAGAACAATCAATATCTCTTTATATACTGTAAGAATACATACTTATAAGGGTAATAAAAATACAGGTCATCAAGGCTCCAAATGCAAACCACACCATAATGAATAATCCAGTTTAGCTCTGGAACTCTCTGAATGTCTTTCAGTAAATCAAACCAGTGCTCCAAGGTAAAAATACTGTGTGATGAATGCACTGGGTAAATCTCTAAAAAAGAAGACAAGCACATCCATTCAGAACATCAAACCCACACCTAATAAAATAAACTTCAGGTTTTCACAATGAAAATGACCTCACTTGAAATCATCCTTGCAGAGCAGACCTTCAATGTTGGAGTTGGTGTATTTTTCGAAAGGAATTACTCCAAACACAGCAACAACTAAAAAGCCCATTAACAACACTGGAAATATCATTTTCACAGTCTGTTGAAAGTAGTTAGCATTGTTAGCTTTAATGAATCATTGTTTCTTACACAGTACTGGCTTTATGGATAATTGCATACCCCACGTGCTTTGTAGATTGTCTGCAACATAACACGAATATCTTGGAATCTGGAGACGATCTTCAAACATCGGAGGACACGAAACTGGGTGAGAAGTTTTTTACATTTTTTGCTGTATGAGCGCACCTTTGAAGGTCTCGGGGAGAATCGCTGGAAGAACAGGCTAACAGAAAACAATGTTACATGGGGTGTCCTTGTCAAGTTGTTGACCACGTGTGTAATTTTTGAAAGACAGAGAAATATTCCAGGTTCATAACAAGTTACCTCAACTGACAGCACCGGACTACAGTAAAAAAACAGTATTTTGTTGTCAGTCGGAGCTCAAGTGCTCGTCAATCTTTAGCTCTGCCCACGGCGCGCCTGCAGGAGCTCGGCTTTTTCCGGAGAGAATCGTAAAGCTGTATCTTTCTTTTATAAATATGATAAACTAAAGAC